TGGACATGTAGTTGTCACTTGTCTGTTCTTATATTATGTTGATCCTTTCCCTTAATATTGAAATAGCATGATGTATTATCAAACCTTTACCCTTTCGTATGCATAAGAACCTACAACATGAGCTTTATATTAAAGATATGTTTTGGTGTAATACATTCTGATAAGCTAACAAATATAGCTATTAGTCATTAAATTCTATGACTTGGAAAATAAATCTGATTAAATGCGAAGGATCTTTAACTGTGGGTCCATTGGATGAACCCCCCGTGGTCCACTCCTTGAGTGGCAAATTACTGTATAACTTCAATGTCAGTTGCATCGGCAACATATGGGAATTTAGTGGTGTTATTTGCACATATAAATTCATCAAGTGGCATATGATGACTTTTACTTGGTAAGGCAATATTAAAAGAAGTAACTATACTTTAAAAGATGAGAGCAGAAGTGGGAGTGTAAGGTTTGGAATGGAATCCTATTTTGAGGTATATGAATACAGTAATGACTTCTCTTGGGATTTTTAAGGATTTTTGGGATATTTGAATGGTTTCCTCCGCATCATGTTATTTGATCATAGTTTATGGCACCCAAGAGTCAAGTGTCTCATTCTCAAAATTGATTTCCTTAAGAACTCTTCCCCTGAAGAGAAATATAGGGAAGAAAAACTTGTTTTCAGAGTCAGTGACTTCAAAGGGGATGAACAATCTTAGACTCAAGATATAGCAACTATAACCTGTTAGACTAAGTTTCCAAAAAAATACATTTGATAGCCAGTGGTCTAATTTTTCTAAGATGATTGCACACATGAAAAGGCTAGAATGGAAGAGTTTAGGAGGAATAGAAGTGAAGAGTTCAGTGTTGGGGTAGATATGGGTGAAGGCATTGAAGGGGTTTGAAATTTAGAATGTGGCTAGGCATGTGATTTAATGAGATAGGCTATCATAATCTTTTCTTCCCAAAATTGTTAGGTACTAGTTGTAAACCGAAGGGACCATATTTGTTCAAACACGGCCATGTTTTCTCTTGGCAATACCAGTTTGCTGGCATATATCAACAAGATGATTATTGATGAATATTTTTATTCTGTTAGAGAAAGTTGCCAAGATATTGGAAAAATACTCGTTCCCATGATCATTTATAACCGTACTTTTTTCTCCCAATTAGTTTTTCGCTGTGGCATAAGCATTTTTAAAGGTCTTTTTTGGCTTTAGATTTTTCTTTATTGTAAATATACCCTACCTACAAAAATGTGTGTGATCGTAAATTAGTTTTTCTTAAAAGTTTTATTCAAACACGGCCATGTTCTCTTGGCAATACCAGTTTGCTGGCATATATAAACAAGAAGATGATTATTGATGAATATTTTTAGGGGGGTTTCCTCAATCTAGAGTTTGATGGATTTTAAAACTCCATATAAATTGAAGTATCCTCAATTCAGATTTAAATATAATTCATTAAAATATAGGTGTCCCCAATCTAGATTTCTAAAAATACTTATAAATTTAGGTGTCCTCAACATAGATTTTAATAGGTAGTTTTGAAATTTAGATGTCCTCATAACTGGTTGATTTTAAAAGATTTCATTAAGTAGATAGATTTTGATAAATTTTGAAGGATTTCAAGGTAAAAATATAAGTACAAAGAATCAGTAACAATTTTAACCCAAACCTAAAAATTTCACAACATTTCTCGCATCTCTCCATATTTGCTACCCTCTCTCTCTCTCCCCCCCCCC